GAGCCGATTCTCAGATCCTCTGAGAATCTACTGTAGGAATAATCCTGAATAATTAGTACCTGTTACTCGACAAATTTTGATTTGTTAGGCCTAACCGTCTAGCTCTTCCCGCTTAACTCCAGATTTCCCAGCATTATAAGTACCCACTCATTAATTAATTAATAGATTTAAACAACCTTGATGACATTGAGATAAAAAAAACTTACTCTCTTCCAAATTTTCATTTACCTCTAGATTTTTGTTTTGATGATTTTCAGTTTGTTCTTATTCCTCCGAAAGCTCTAACTCTTCTTCTGAGTTGAGCTCCTCCGAAATCTCTGAGTCTTCTTCACTTTGTTTTTTCTTTGATTTCTGGACCCTCTCTCCGTCATGTCTATCATTCGAGTTGGAATCACTCGAGGGACTCAGCATTCCTTCAAGGAAGTAGTCCTTTGTACTTTTCTCTGTGATCTATTTCAGGATTTTGAAACAACACAAAATTAAGTCAATTTTAAAGTCTATATTTCAAATTTGCTCTTAAATTCTCTTTAAGTCTAGGTATTCTCTAGTTTTTACCAATTTTCCCTTTAAAAAAAAATTGTTTCTTGCTTCTAAACCAAAATCAACGTACAACAATAGAACATGGCTTGAAATAGAGAGTCGCATCTTCCCAAAGTGCCTCCGCACATACGCGCACCGTGCTCCGAGATTCGGCTCGACGCACAGCAGTGAAAACCGTCGGAGCTGGTTGATCAAGCACACATATGCGGTGCCCTCCAATATACGCATCCCCCTTTAGTCAACAAGTGAATTTCCAATGCACTGCAATTTGGATACGCATAAGTTGCCCTGAACTTTTCTTCGGTCATTTTGTGGAACTTTCATTTATAAGAAATTCCAATTCATTTTCTCTTTTTCCCTCTAGAGCATTCTCTTATGTATCTATCTTCTAACCTCTGAACTTCTTTTTCAACATCGAAAACATAAACATAAGAAATATCGATTTTCTTCTCTCTTTTCTTCTTAAACTCTAACACTCTGTGGGGAGCACAATAGCAGATTTTGTTTACATTCTCGAGGTCAGGCGCGCGTTGTTTTTCATCTACCAAACACGCTTAGAGCTGTACATTCGAGTTGACTCATGCTGTCTTTGTCTCCATTCATGGTTCTAATTTTTTCGTTGCTATTTGTATAAACTTCATTTGAAACGTGAATTTATTAAAATTCGTATTAACTGTTAATTCTACCTTCTATATTTTTCACTATTCTTCCGATTGACCTAAATTCACTTCTAATTTTATTTGTTTTACACGTGCCTCTTTATTCATCTAACCTCAATTAATTCATTTTAATTACCCGGGTGTATATTTGATGCTCATTTGTAATTCCGTCGACAATATACTCCTGTACGTACTCACCTCTTAAAAACTTTGCACATCCGCTTTTTATGACTATAATATACTCTTAATTCTCCAATCACTTAATCTGTTATGGACCCGAGCGGATGGGTTCAATGTAGGGATTAATCACACGCGAGTAGATAATAGAAATAATGTTCTTTATTGGGAATCGGTTTTGAACGATTAATTAACTATTTATTAAATAAATAAGAACTCGGTCTGATACTGAGGGTATCAGGCGAGTACAAAGTGTAAAGAAGGTAATTAAAAACTTGTCGAATGACTCGCCCAGAGGGAACGAATTCACGGGTTTTTATTGCCTTGTAGATTAGATTGCATCAGGTCATTGTTCTTCGTCGCAAACCTGCGACGTATCGGCTGATGTCTCCCGGCGCGCGCGAAGGCCAGTCGTCGAGGCGCAAAGTGCTGACGCTGCACCCCAGTTATCTACATTCATCGAATATAGGTGGATTTAATGCACGAATATTCGACGTTATTTTATATTTCTTCATTCTCTGTTTTGTTTCGGATATTATGTGCCACTTTCGCGTTCTCATAGTATTCGAATCAACAGAGGGACTTCATAATGTTATTTAGGGCATAACATTCCTCCCCGTCAGACAAGAAAATTAGTACCCTTAGAAATTTTCCATTCTAACCCTATCTCATCGACACAATACCTAACAGACACAATTTACAGCAATTATTTACAATTCATTACAATGCATATATTCTTATGGTATTCTGAAGTTCGTTGCTTCCCGCCTAGGCGCTGGCCATGGTTTCCGAAACCAGTTGTAAAGGGTCAGCCCTAGAATGATCGCTAGGATTACCATCACTCCGGTGAAAATCGATGAAGGGTGCGTGAGAAATTCTCGATAATCGAATTTCTTCCGTATTTTATTAAGGTTCTCCTTTCTCAACTGTCAGTTGCACGTGAAGCCCCTCCAGCTCCTTCATGTTCCCGACAATATTGGTCAGCTGGACGTCACTCAGGGTAAATCTTCGCTGTTCTAACTGGGTGATGGTGACGTCATCCAATGTCAAGTTCAATTTTTGGTGAACATGAGCATTGAATGTTACTTCGTGTGAATTCGTGCCTCTAATAGTGAAGTCAGTTGCTACTATCTCACAGAAGTCCTCGACTCGCAGGATTCCTGAGTCCTACAGGATATCCCGTACTTCCTTGTCACAACAGGTGACTACTACTCCCTCAGATTCTGGGGTCACGTAGAACCATGCGTTGTCCTTTCTCATTTTTATGAGGGTGAGCCCTTAAAGCTGCAAGTGTTTCACGACGCATGTAGCAGGCATCTTCTCAGGACTCATGTAAATTTGCACCTCATATAGACTCGTATCTTTTACTTTTTGAATTGGAAGAGATTCGGTGCATAATTATTGTACGCGAATTGTCTTGCAGTGATTCAATTGTCCAGCGGTCATTGGCACGAACTGTTGTATCGATCCGTGTATCACAAGAAGCTCGTTCTTCACCTCCAGGTATGAATAATACCCGTTCGTTGTCCGCACAGGAATTCCATGCGTCAGCAAAACCTCGAACGCTTGAAAGTTGACCAGCGGTATTTCCTCCAAGGTGATAATTTTAAATCCGAATGCATGTACACTGACGGTGGATACCTCCCCCATTTTATACATTCCGCTTACTTCGAGGTCAAAGGGGACACTTAAACCCTTTGGTAACTTCGCTGTTTTGAGAAGGGTGACTAACCCTGTCTCAGTAAAGACTCCGGTATTCAATATCGACCTCTTGGCATCAGTTAGTAGCTTCCTGATCTTCGCAGCATCCCTCATTACTCCAGTGTAGATTGCTTGTAGTATTATGAGATGTTCATCGAGGTCTACTTTATCCGTGATTGTCAGCACCTCGTAATCCTTGTCCCTTAAGGACTTCATCAGGATCTCCTCGTTTTTCTGAATCATCTCCTCAGTGTGTCCCAATTGATAGAGAGTTAATAATCTCCATCTGTTTGCGAGAACTATCGAACGTCCCTTCGGTAATGTGAGGTAATACGGGCTCTTCTGCATAATTAATTAATTAATATAATTTTGGGTTGTTTGGCCCTAATTAAAATAATATACGTAAAGACTTTGGGGCGGACACGATAAATTCTAATTTCAGCACAAAAATTGATGTGAAAGGAGTAACTATTGTTTCACATGTGGTATTTTAGTTCACTTTCATAGTGATTTAATCGTTGGAAATGGATCTCGCAGATTTTATCGTATTTCCTTCGATGATGAGCTTATTCAATAATAAAACTTGCGTTGTATATAATAACATACCATACCTTATTACTTTTATTTTTTTCAATATTATATGTCAGTTTCAGGGCCATGGACAACAATAATGACGGTCGTATCTAAGACCTCACCTGCGTCTTGGATTATTTGTCGTAACGAACATCTCCCAGCTGAAAGACCCCACCAGCACAAAAAGTTTAAATTCAACCCTTTTTACTTTGTAAATGCATTTTTTTTATCAATCATAGTTTTTATGGGTAATTTAACTGGTTTGTGGAAAATATAGTTACCATAGAACGTAATAAGCGTAAGTGCTTCAGCTTAACAAAAAAAAAAATTCTGAGGCAGTCTAGTCCTCTAGCATAAAATATCACTTGAACAGATTTGAGATTTGATAAATTGATAAGGACTCTCAAAGATTCTTCCTTTCGAATTTGCACACTATCAGACTAGATGTGATTATAAGTGGATCCCATTATGTGGCTTTTGGCGAATGTTTTTCAAAAAAATATGCTTATTATTTTATTTTCTGAGTGTATCATCTGCTTTTACGTGTCATGTTTTAGACAGAGAACAGCGAATGCTATGAAATGCATCAGTGACGCGATACGTTCGTGTTGGGTACAGCGGCAGGCAGTTTATTACTCCAGGAAAGAAAAGGCCCAAAAAGAAAGTTAAGCGAGAAGTGGATGAATTCGTTAAATCACAGATTCGTGAAGTAATCTACGATCAAGCCTTACAACGTAAATATCTGCAGTTTTGTTTCAATTGCTTGTAGTCGATCATGTATGGAGATTATTGGATGGTCATCGTCATTGATTATTCCGTTCATTTCATTTTAGGTTGTTCCGTAACTGCATCTGATATTTTGGAAATCGTGAGGCACAAACATGACGATTAATTATGTGTCATTTATTTTGCTGAGTTATTTGCGGCTGCGGTTTTTCTCCAATGCTATATTAGTCTCGTGAATATATATTTTATACTTTGTTCAGATTGAACCTTGGCACATTATTCCTCTATTCCTAATTATATATCCGATGACACAGGACGAAAGGAATCGCTTTCCATGGTGGGCTGGACACATTTACCAAACTCCTTCATGATATGGGTTTCAAGTATGAAATTCGAGACGGGGCTCGGAATTTTAGGCAGCACCCTCACATTATCTATCTCAGGATACAATTCCTGAAGGCAATGAAACAATATCTTGACGATGGTGACTGGGACATTATCTATGTCGATGAGAGCTGGACGTGGGAGACAGGAACGGGTAAAATGAAGGATTGGCAGGACGATGATAAGCGCAGCTGCTCAGTCAAAACTACGTCAACAGGAGATCAATGGATTATCTGTCATGCTGGGGGCACAGACGGATTTGTGCCGGGAGCATGTCTTTTCACTCGTTCTGGTAACGTTCCAAAGTAGCTGTTGATTATCATACAGACATAAACGGGGATAAGTTCAAAGAATGGAACTGGGCAGTTACTTCCGAATCTCAAACGCCGCACCGTGATTGTTATGGATAACGCACCTTACCATAGCGTACAGGTATAACATCATGCTTTACATTCCCCCATTTAATTTGTAATGCTCATTCCTGAGTGGAAATTTTGCTCAGTCCAACATTGGATTCAATACTGGTCACAATTTCTTGATTAGACTTTTGGATCAGGCTCTGGTAAGATTGTAAACAGAGTATCTGGATCCAATGTAGCGAAGTGAATTCCGATCATATTCTGATCAGTCTAATCTTGAATGAATCCGAATAGGATCCGGTACTGATCAGAGAGTTCGGATCCTATCATTTTATCAGGCATGGATCCAAACATGTGTTAGATTTTATATCCAAATCTGATCAAAAGCAGGTTTTACTGACCAGTCTCTTATTTCAGCCTGATTAGAGTTTCACTCTGGTTGTTTCACCGGGAGCTGGACCAGGAACGAGTTGGGCCAACTTGGATGGAAATCGTGATAGAAACGAGAAAAAAATCAAATCTGTATCGTTTCGACATCAATTGTCATCCAACTTGGCCCAACTCTTCTCTGGTCCAGCTCACAGTGGAACAAAACTGAATGATATCCATATTGTTATCTGAATTATTTAGATTGAGAAGAACCCCTCTTCAAGTTGGAAGAAAGACGAGCTGACCTTATGGTTGAAAAACGAGGGTATCAAAGTGGATCCCTCACTGACGAGGAAGGAATTGCTCGCTCTGTGTGGCCTGATTAAGAAACCCATCAAATATGAATTAGACGAATTCATAAAGACAACAACTCATCATCGTATACTACGACTACCCCCATCCATTTTTTTTATAATGCCATTGAGTTGGTTTGGGGCCTGGGGAAACGTAATTTTGATAAAAGACTTGGCTATCACCATGATTACTCTCACCAAATGATTGAACAAATGTGGGCACAAGCTCTTGAGTCTGTAACTCCAGAGATTTGGAGGAAATGCTGTGAAAAAACTGAGAGACGGATGCTCCAAAATTATGCCAATGAGGTAACTGGTGAGGAGGATGCAAATCAGTTCTCCAAGCATCGACAAGATAATGTAAACCTCCACGCAACAACACCTACGTTAGAATGTGAGGCCCTCTCATCTGTGAGCACTCAGTCGTCATGTATCGATCAATCTGGAATGAGTTTCGGAGGACCTGTACGCAGATCATTGCTTTCGCAACGTGATTCAGAACAGGTGAGATGAGATAATGTATAAAGGTATGATTAATTCCACAGCAAAATGATCAAGGCTATCAGGCGCTTCTGTAACCTATCGATAACCATCAATTTATCTTCATAAAATTATAGAGGGGATATATTTACTTGCAAACATAAACATTGGGATTTTAGAGAGATGACAAACGTTCCACTTTGCCCCACCTCACTTACGACAAAAATTGAATAGAAAAATAGAGTGTAAAGAACTTTAGACTGTAAGAAATTTTCAGTCGAGGAATTCCTATGGAAAATATCTCAATAGAAAAAGTTGTATCGAAAGATTCTATAGACTCTTTCTATAAAATAGTTTCTATTGGACTTTCTGTGTAACAAACAACGCAGTAAAACTGCGTAATCGTTCAATAGAAAAGGCCAAAACTAATAGAATTTTCAATAGAATTTCCTATCAAATTAGCTAGGTTTTTCTATCAGTTTTGTGTGTGAAATTTTTCCACTTCTTCTTCTAGTCTGAAACAGATTCTGCGGTGCATTCGCCATCTCCGTTGAAAGCCTGTATCTGACAATGAGATTTCGAAAACTCGCCTCAGCACTGAGCTTATTCATGTTTTACATATAAATTACTTTTCCAGGTCTTTAAGACTGATGTTGCAGACAGCGACCTTGCGAGACCGATCCAAGACGTGAGAACTTCTCTGTACAGCAACGATTCTCCTTAGATGAGTTATATACCACGTAAAACCACAAATGATATAAGTAATTCGAACTCGCCTAACACATTTCATACTATTAAGGGTTGTGATTGTAGTTGCAGAAGGTAGCTGGCAACAAAACGACCATTGCGGATGACCATCCATTGATCGAAATAGCCCAACATGTCATCGATGTAGATGGGCCTCAACAATGTCCACAAGCTGAAAAAGCGTCTTGTTACACTGTGCAAGTACGTTGAAATAATCAAATAAGATATCTCTTTTTTGTGCGATCTATGACACAAATCTCTTCATCATTTTCCCCTTGATTAAATGACAGGATTGGCTGAGAAAAGATGACAACACGCCAATTCTCACGGATGAGGGCATGCTGTATGTACTATATCTGAAGACATTATTATCAACAAACTAGCTCAACGATGCTGTAAGGATCTGCAGACGAACTGTGATTCTCGATTCAATGTAGGGCAATTTATTATGTATATTTTTCATCTGTTGTAGATCATAAGTGCTTATCTAAAGTTGATTATGAAAAGAAGTGGAGGCTCGGGTCACGCATATGACACTTTCTTCTTTGAACAACTACTCATTTTATATGATAGTGTGGGTCAATGGACACGACAGGTACATAAACATACAGTTACTCACGGTATACTATTTATTATGGCTTGACATTCAATTCTGCTTCTCCCTCTAGACTGATATCTTCAGCAAAAAGATGTTATTGATACCCATGCACTCATCGAACCATTGGTCATTATGTGTGGTGATTTTAAAATCAAAGTGTATCATCTATTATGACAGCTTAGGTGGCACAAGTCTGCCCTATATGGATGTACGTATTCAGTAGCCTGACATTATTTTTTATTCAATCATTAACCATGAGTTCCAACTAATATCCGATTTCTGTTGACAGATAATCCTCCAATATCTCGCTTATGAAATGAATCAGACCAAACATAAGGAGCTGTTTTTATCAGAGTGGAGAAAAGTTAATGCGAAAGTATGTAGTGACAAATAATTTAATCATGGAAATCATTGCCTGTACATTATCTGACGGGATAAGTCAATAATCAGTACATTTACTTTTATCTTTTCATCTTAAACTAAGTTCTGAGACAGGCAATAGTTTGAGTGAGAGAAACTGAATAATGTTCAGTCTCGCAGTATCTATCAATTTTATTTTTTTGTTGTTTCATGAACTTCAAACTCTTTCTTAAAGTATTTCAGAGGTTTATCAATGACAAGTAATAATGAAACACTGCTTCCATTTACACTACCATCGTATTGTCATATTATCTGTATAAAAACTAATAATCTCGTCGTCGATAGTTGAAACACTCGTCTTTTTTCTTTTTTCTATGCCCAGAAATGGCAGGAAAGCACCCAGAGTTATTTTTAATGATTTTACTATGGCTATCGCCTTTCTCTGCACTATGTCTGGGTTGATTGAAATATTTTATGTTTACACCAACGTTTTGATTCCAGAACATCCCTCAGCAGAATAATTTCAGCGACTGCGGTGTATTCCTTTGCTCGTATGCTGAGTGCTTAACCAGAAATGTGTCCTTTGATTTTACATCAAATGACATACCACAGATACGAGCCAGGATGTTACAGGAAATACTTACCTCGCAACTGTCATCTCGACTATTGCCATTAGATTCCAGGAAAGCAGGCAGTCAACGACGAATACCACCAAAGCCCATTAGTTCATTGGTATGTATTGAAACTTGTAATATCAACCTATTGAAAATAGAACCCATAGAAACATCATAGAAACACCTGGCGTTTTCGCTTGGGAGTTCTATTAAATGTCGATAACAATCCCATTAGAATTATATTAATATTCTACTGGTTTTGCGGATTTCCAGTGAAAACTTCAACCCATTTTCTCGGCGAATAGGTGACAGACATTTGATGAAAAAGGATAATTGGAATGTGATTCTTCAATATGGCTTATTATCTTGACATTTATTCCATTGAAATTCTTGGGTATAAAATTTTAGAGTCTTTTCCTTTGTATTTTTTTTTTCATTACAAAAATCATAATAATAAAATAAGTAAATTTATGCTGAAGATTTATATAAAAGAATGATAATTTATTGGCTTATTTGTTGAAAATAGTTATTCAAAATTAGCACGAGAAATTTCGAAAAACTGTCAATAGTGTTGCAATATAATTGTAATAAAATTTCAATCTAAAACTGGGAAATTTTAAATTGATTCATGTCAATTTGTTGATTATTCCAGAAGCAGAAGAAGACAGCTGTATCGCGAGCCAAAGTAGCGGAACCCACCAAAGATTCGGTGACAGATTTAAGAGATGTTTTCCTTCACGTTGCTGCTTCTTTCCATCAGGTTGATCGCCGGTTTCCTCAAGGGAGAGCTAATGCCCAATGTACGGCAATATCAACATTTTGGATTGCAATAATGGCACAATCGACAGAATCAGTCTCGCAAAATCTTCTGGACACAATCCTGATCGACGGTGACCGTTATTACGTGGAATGCAAATCACGGAATGATGTACAAGTGGATCAACTCCATGTAGAAGATCTTTGCACCCGATTCACCGTTTTCAACAGACTTGTGAACATTGATCAATATCATCGGTCAATGTGGTGAGGGCAGCTTTGACGATCCAATGCTGGTCGAAAAACTCACCGAAACGATCAATCAATGTATTGATAACTATCAGCATAACTTAACACACTGTGGATTTTTGTTTATTGAGCACGGCAAAACAGTTGCATTCAGGATTGTGAGGTTGTCCTCAGAGCCACCTCACCGCTACCATTTTTTCATGTTCAATCAACATGGCGTGGACAAGAATAATCGTCGCCCAAGGATTCAATGACAAGCTGTAGCTCGATGCTTTCGATACCTCAACACAGAAGCACTGATTGGGCTGCTCTTAACGGAACACCCTCGCGAAAGTTATTGGCAGATTTATGCCATCAACGTCGGAACACCCGACTGAGACGACCCAAAAAGTAAGAGATCTTATTCTCAGTAGTGATCAACCGATCAAACTTTTCACCGTACCATTATCCGTGGAATAACCGACAGTTCCCCATGAGAATCCCCAGAATACTCATGCCGCATCCAAAATTTTATAACTGAACGGTCAATAATAATATGTAACACTTCTAACCCTCGACCCCACCCCAAACCCTCAATATTATCTGCTAATCCCCCCTCGACTCTATGAAAAAAAATCCAGTACTCAAAAGACATATTTTCCACAGGCTCGGTGACTCCGATTCTGTAAAAAAGCTGATCGACATCAAATCCTTACGCCACCAAACCGATGGAGAGCGTTTCAATACCGTCATGAACTGCATGAAAACCTCCAAAAGCTTCGTAACTGATGCTCTTGAAGTCATCATGAAAATGACAACAATCACTCCGATGGAGGCGTCGAAGGAGACTGGGAGTTTCCCGGAAATAAGGGAAGGGGTGAGGAGGATGGAGAAAGATCCTGGTACAGTCGTACTGGAGAGATTATAGTCCTCAGAGTTACCCCCACTCTACCCAATTCCCACTCACATCCTCGTCTCCCACCTCTGAAAACCAAGACTATAATCTCTCCAGTACGACTATAGGTATTTGGGAGGCTCCATGACTCGATAACTTTATAGAAATCGATTCTGAAAACTTGATTTGCACAAGATTTTCTCAATGATTTAAAATGCGTCAAAAATCCAAGGCTTACTCTAATACATCTTTTTGTTGAAGAAAACAACAGACAAACTCACTTCCCAGACTTTTTCAAAATTGATCAAATATTATTGCGCTCATCAATTCTTGTATGATTTTTTTCACAAATGGCTGGAGTTTGTGTCAATAAATCCATTTTGATGAAATTTTTCTTGGCTGAAATTTGCCCTTAAACATTAAACCTATGTAAAAAATCAATCAGTGGTGATTTTTATATATTAATTATTCTTTTGTGATTTTCCTGTAAAAAATTCTTGAACATGAATTTTCCTAGTTTTTCCCGTTCTATTTTTTCTTCATTCTCATTACGAAACGCAAGGAGAAGAAATGATAAATTTCCTGCTCAAGCATTTTTATAGGAAAAATCGCAACAAAATAACTTGTACATTACAATTATTATCTGATTGAATTTCTTAAAAAAACGTTTTTCTGTGTCAATTCTTTTTTTCCAAAGTTATTTGCTCCTCAGAATTCTAAAATTCACTTAAAATCTTTCCCAGGGTATGGAGGATGACTTCCCAATCCATCTCTTCACAATATATTGAAAGAAAAAATTGTAAAAGTGTTCGACGAGAAATCCCCCATCAAACCTAGCCCTTCAAACCATTCGAAACCAAATTCAGTGGAAAAATCGAGAGCAACTCCAGGAAAATTAATCGAAAAAGAGAAGAATTGAATCATTGAAGTTCGAGAGACTGGAATAAATTTTCTGGTAAGGCATCACTTCTTTCAGGATCAGCTGAAAAAATCATTAGGAGTCCCAAAACCCCTGAAGACGTGAAACGAAACCTTATGGCGACATTGGACATGATCTCCAATGAGCCATCACCTGGAATTATTAAAAATACTGAAGATAATTCGAATTTCATTACAGATGAAGATCTTTACAATAATTAGGCATGCTTTGGGAATCAGATGAACGGTTATAATTCTGATGGAGATGATTATGGAGCTGCAGCCACAGCATTTCCTTCTGGTTGTCATGAAGAGGACGAGTGAGAACGATCGAAAAGGCAGGAACGAATGTCTCTGGCTGTTACAAGGGAATCTGAATCCCTGAAATATGTTCTGAATTCTCTTGCTGCTCAAGGGAACCATGTGGATGGTTGGTGCGAGGAGGAAGGGGATGTTCTCCAGGAGAAATTGCTGGTGGGAAAGAAGTTGGAGTCTGGGGGAGGGCCCTGTTGGATCCTGTTGACACCCACACGCATTCCTGAGTTCATTGAAGGAACTCATCTGATTCCCTTCGAGGCGGTTCCATCGTTCAGTCTGGGGGATATTGGGGAGGATAATGATATTCATCTGATGGAAATTCCCAAGTCGATATTGGAACGGGATTTGGGGTTCAGATGAACTCGTAAAGAAGAAGGACCAGTCTAAGAAAGTCTGAAAATTGTTCCACTAACAAGAATTCTTCATTGATATTCAGAATAATTTGTATTATTATCCTCAATAAATATAAAATTACCCCAAATCTGCATTTTTTTTCCATATAGAGTTTTACAGTGGCATGCATAGCAAATTGTAACACATTTCCCTCAAATATAAAAATCTCATCATTCCCGATTGCATACATATTTCTGTACAGCGGGTTATCATGCTCGGGATTAATATACCTAGGCTACTCGAATAATGGCTGAAATAGAAGCGGAGAATGTTTGGAATTACAAATTATATATACTGAGGGAGAGATTATGAATAAATTTAGGTCAATACTGGACTAATGATCTGGGCATCTAGTGATTTTTCTGCTCCAATAGAATGGGGCTATTCCATGATTTTTTTTTTTAATGATGAAATCCTCAAATTGGATGAGAAATATTAGATACGTACTTTTTTATTTTGGAAAAAAAACGTTTTCAATCGCCTAGAACTTTTTTATTTCTCATTATTTCCAAAATAAAAAAATACGTATCTAATACGTATCGTCTAATCGTATCGATATTTTTCATTCAATTTTCATATCCAACAATAAAAAACTCATGAAATACGCCCATTCACCTCATTCGCAAATTTTTCGCATCCGATTGAATTAACAAATTTTGAGATTGAAAATGGCTGAATCTTTGTGTGGTCTGTGCCAAACTATAATAGGTACTTGGATATTGTACAAGCACTTGTTTAGAACGAAAGATTGTCGAAGACTTGGGATAATTCATATTTGAAATAAAAAAGTACCTGCGTAGTAATTTGAACATCACCATAGATACGCATGTGCGAGTTGCGGGGCGGGGAGGGCGGCGGAGTGAGGGAAAATGGCTTCGTGAATTCCCGAAGACTAAAATATCTCCAGTACGACTGTACCTCGACTGCCGAGCGGCGAGCTGTGCGCATGCGTCGAGCGGCGCAGTGGTGGGATGAGTGGGGTTGCCGCGTTTAGTGGAGCGCCTTGCTGGGTGAGTTAGTGGGGGAGCGCGCCAACGGGGCACCCCTAGCATAGCGTATATCTCATCCCTAACACTGCGGCACCTTACATGTGTCTTTAAAAATACATTTTTTTACATTTTTAACTTAGATTAATTATTTTTGACATTTTTTGACAGTAGATTTTCCATTTTTAGTGAATTTTGAGTTTGATTTTCACCATGTCCTAAACGTTTCCTTTAGGCACCCTTATGGTACTGTAATTGACATTTTTTGTCTATTGACTTTGTTTCTTGACAATTTTGACAAAATTCATTTTTGAGCCTATTTTTGGGCTAAAAAATCGATTCTGATAATAAAATATCTTTTCCATTTTTTAGAACATTTCAATTGTTAATAACAATGGTAATTGTTATTATTTCGGAACGGTCATTATTTCATTAGGAGGTCCATATTTTATAATATTTTTCCATAAATTTTCCTTATTTTATCTTTACAACCTTCGGAGATATTGATTTGACTTCAAGAAAGGTTTATTAGCCTTTCGGGGTGTTATTTATAACTTGAAAAATCTAATTAATGGCTCATTTTGTGGAGGTTTAGTGGACTATTTTTGTGGAATTTATTATTCTAATGTGTTCATTAGTTTAGGAATTATTAGCATTTGTAACTAACCCGGTGGCCTGGCGTAGTGGTTAAGGCCGTTGCCTCACAACGGATAGGTTCCAGGTTCGATTCCTGGCCGGGTAGAATGGTGAGATCTAACCATTTTTAAAGTCTTGATCAATCGCCATATAGTCTCATCAGACTCGAAGCGATATAAAATAAGCATAAAAAAAAAAAAATAAAAAATTGTAACTAAGACAGCTAATTTGTCAAAATTGACATGTTTAAATTTTCAAATTTTCTATGATTTTCTTTCATATTCATGTTTTTGTTACTTGAATTCACTGATTTTAACTATTTTCAGAATTTTCGAGAATAATTTTGAATGGCATGTCAATAGACAATCAGATTTGTCTATCGACTTTTCAATTTTGGATTACATATTTTTGTAGATCGTAATTTATCCAGGATTTCCTATATTGAAGTTTTTTCTATATTTCCCATAGGGAAGGCGCTAAAAATTCTCAAAATTTAATAGAATACACCGGTATACGATTTTTGTGTGGGTGCTGTGTGTGAATATTTAAAAATCAATATCTGCATTGTTTACCAAGATTAAGAAATGATTTTTTGGTTGCTTGTTAAGGGTCTTGAGAACTTCATTTTAGAATTTTTCCGAATTTTTCTTAATAATTTTTATGTCTTTTGTTAATGACAATTGAATTTATTAAAAAAGTTCTGTAACTTTTATCGGTGAAATTTATAGTTCTGCATTTACGGAGCATTTTTTATTTTAAAACTTTTTCTCCATCTCTAATACAGATGGCGCTAGAATTTTTCAAACTTCATGAATACATGAATATACGTTTTGTATGCGTGTGTGGAAATTTTGTTCATTCATATCTTTTCTGTTTATTAAGATGAAGAAATAATTCAATTTATTTTGGATTGAGGCTAAAAAGATCTTTCGTTTGTGATTTTTCCAGATTTTCCTGGTAAATTCTCAAATGTTTTGTTAATAACAATTAAATTTGCAAAGTATTTAGTATGGAAATCGACTGGCATTTACCTGGACAGGGGGGTGGACGGTGCACGGCTCTGTTTGGACTCTGGGCTCTTCTCTCTCTATGAAAGGAGAGTCTATACCGACATTATGTTTGTTGTTAAATTGTTACACCACAGAATTGATTGTTCATCGTTGTTGGAGCGATTATCGCTGAGAGTCCCTCCTTTACATTCCAGATTCCGTGCATTGTTTTACCTCCCCTTACCCTCGTCTAATCTCAGCTCACACCACTGTACAGATTAACAAATAATGTAAACAAATTCATCGAATTTGATCACTGCATTGATGTCCACACCGATTCGATCTCAATCATTGCGTCTAGAATTTATAAGTATATACTAAGCCTAAGAGAAACTGTATCAGACATGTGATTTAGTTTATTATACCTTCTTATATTCGCCATTTAACTTTTGTATGATCACCTAATATTTTTTTTTTCCGTTTCATACCAATGTATTATTTCTGTAGTGACCCTGTTATTGGCCTTTGGCTATTGGGTCTAATTGAACCAATAAATAAAAATTTGTTAATAAATTTTTATTATTTTTATGAGCGTAATTGATAGTTCTCACTATATGGAGCATCTTTTGTCTGAAAACCATTTCCTCATCTCCAATACAGATGGCGCTAAAATTTTCCAAACTTTTTAAGTGGACACACGGATATGTGGTTTGGATGCGTGTGTACCAAACTTTAAAAATTAATATCGTCATTGCATACGGAGACTAAGAAAATATTTTTTGGTAGATTGTTACCACAGTTGGTGTCCTTTGATTTCGACTAATTTTCATTTTTGTTGTTGTAAATTTGTTATACCCCAAATAATATTATGAAATTCCTCTGTTGATTCGGATAACATAAAGTGACGAAAGTGGCACGTGTTATCCGAAACAAAACAGTGGAATGAGGTAATATAAAATAACGTCGAATACTCGTGAATTAAACTTCACATATAAACGACGAATGCGGATAACTGAGGTGCAGGCACTTTGCGCCCCGACGCCTGGCCTTCGCGCGCGCTGGGAGACGTCACCCGATGCCTCGCAGGTGTGCGACGAAGAACAGCGACCTGATGCAATCGAATTACACGAGTGCATAAAAGACTGGTGAATTCGTTGCCCCGGGGCCAGTTACTCGACGAGTCTTGAATTACCTTTTTATACTTATACTCGCCTGATACCTTCAGTATCAATCCGAGTACTTATTTGTTTAATAAATGGTAAACTAATCACATAAGTTCAATTTTCAATAAAGATAATTATTTCTACTGTCTAATCACGTGTAATCAATCCTTACACCGAACCCAACCGCTCGGGTCCATAACAAATTTTTGTTAATTTTTATCAACAAATTCCATTTTTTATAACTTTTATTACCATTGTCTGGTGAAATATTTAGTTTAAATTATTTCTTGATTTTTCGTGTATTCATTTTTTCTAGTATGCGAATTTATGTAATTTTCATGAATTTTCAATTTTTCGTTGTATGCATTAGTATGGTGTGTGAGTAAAACAGAGAAATTAATATGCTTCCCGTTTATGGGGGTGAATCATTTGTTTTTAATTAATTTAGTTAGAGAACATTCTGACCTTTGTTTTGTATGCACTCGTTTTCCCTGTGATGACGTCATCTTTAGCAATTTGTAAATAGAACTTGATAATTACTTAGAGAATTTGTTTTTCGTCTGAGATAATTTGTTTATTATCCCTTTTAGTAGTTCTTAGCATTTTTTATAATTTTTTCATTCATTTCAATAAAAGTTATATAATTTTTAGATAGACCTTGTCTATATATACGTGGAAATTTCCAAGATTTTGCCATTTCTGAGAGGGTGCGTTACTTGTTCTCGCGGTTTAACCCTGCCCTAATATCACAAAGCTGAATTCTCTTTAATCATTGATAAGTGGGCTCCTGTATGGTC